GCTGCTCACCCCATGCTCAGCTCTCATCTCACCCTCCTCAGTGCTTGCATACTCTGTGCAAGACATGGATGTGGTGAATGGTGGGGATAGAGGGGGAACAGGCTCTTCTTCCCCATCCTTCTGGTTGCCTTCCCAGAGTTACAAAAGCCCCTGGCACACCATGGGTGCCATGTCCTGCCACCCCTCAGCCCACTGACTGATCCCAGCTTCCGTCTCAGCATGCACATGAATTTCCACTCTTCATGCTAAACTCTGCCAAAGCAAAATTCCTGAAGCAGAATAAAAAATGTGGAAGGCTTTCAAACCCAGAGATGCTTGAATTTACCAAACAGTGGTCAATACTGTGGTCTTTTTATAAAGGCTCTAGTATAATGTTTAATTCAGTAACTACAATAGGAAAGTCTTTCCAATTATTTTAAACTGCCAGAGATATTTTAATGTGCCTCAGATTTTGTGTTGGCATGCTACAGAGTTAAGTGCCATCCATCTTTCAGAGAACATTAAAATTTAGCCTTGTATAAAAAGAAGAATAATGGGAAAGAGTCCCAAAGGACGTACTTGTCCCTTGAACCCCACCATCACTTGTGGTTTCACAGACACCTTCTGCATTTTGAAATTGTTTGTCTCTCTCTGTGCAGGGTTTGAGATCAATGCAAGCAGTTAAAAGCTTTAATTTTTGTGCAGAGCTTCATCTGAGGGCAGGACTGGGAGCAGATCTCCACTGGTGGCCACCCAGCCATGCATTGTCAGGCTGTATTCACTCCCTAGATGAGTTGAAGCCTCTGCAACCAATGATGTAAAAGTTTGAGAAATCACAAATATCTTCTGATTTAATTTTTGTGCCAGGCCTAAGTGGTCTCTGTCTCTGACTACTGGCTGCTGTTTGTCCCAAACCCACCAAGGCACCACCCCAGTGAGACCCCCCCAACACTGCTGCTGGGTGTGAGGGGATGGAGCCTGGGGCTCTGCTGCCTCGGGCAGCCTCACTCCAACTACATGAGCATTATAAAGGGAAGAACATGACTCTCAGCATCCTTGCACATTTCTTTTTCTTTTTTTTTTTTTTTTTTTTTTTTTTTTTTTTTTTTTTTTTTTTTTTTGTTATTCCTTCTTGCTGAGCTGAAGTGGCACATGAGTGCTGAGCATGTGCATCTCTGCACTGGGCAGAGGGGAAGAAGGAGCAAGGAGAGCATCTTATAAATCTAGTTCTGCTCTATTAAGATTCATTCTGGTATGACAATGGCTTTTTCTATTGAAGTGCTTTGTGAAAGCCTTGCTTAATGATCTGTTAGCTGGGGAAAGGTTAAATTCCTGTATGATTTTCTTTGTTTGATGAAGAAAAAACAGTGCAATTATCCAGAATTCAAAGTGAGTTTTAGCCAGCTGTTAATAATACTGTGATTCCTCATGTTCTCATTACTCAAAAGTAATGTTGCCATCCCTAGTCATGGCAGTAAAATATTTATAGCATTTTCTTATGGCCTTATTTGTACATATGGAGGACTGGACATTACTCAGAGTCTTCTAAATAGGCTTCTTTTTGTGCTTTAGCCATCCATAGAATAATTTGGTTTGAAAAACACCTCTAAGATCATTCAGTCCAACCATTATCCTAATGTTGCCAACTCCATCACTAAGCTATGTCCCTAAGTGCCATACCTACACATCTTTTAATATCTCCAGGGGTAGTGATTCAACCACTTCCCTGGACAGGCTGTTCCAATGCTTGATAATGCTTTCAGTGAAGAAATTTTTTCTTGTATCCAATCCAAATGTCCCCTGGCACAACTTGAGGCTCTTTCCTCTTGTCCTATCCTTTGTTGCTTGGGAGAAGAAGCCAACCCCCACCTGCTACAAGCTCCTCTCAGGTAGGTCGTGGAGTGATGAGGTCTCCCCTGAGCCTCCTCTTCTGCAGGCTGGATATCCCCAGCTCCTTCATATGCTCCTTACAAGACTTGTGCCCAGACCTTTCACCAGATTTTTTTTTTCTTTTTTTTTTTTCTCTCTCTGGAAATGCTCCAGCACCTCAACACCTTTCTTGTAGTGAGGGGCCCGAAGCTGAGCACAGCACTCAAGGTTCAGCATCACCAGTGCTGAGTACAGGGGGTCAGTCACTGCCCTTGTCCTGCTGGCCACACTGCTGCTGATACAAGCCAGGATGCCCCTGGCCTCCTTGGCCACTTCAGCACGCTGCTGTCATACACTGCACGACAGTATTCTTGTCATCTAATTGCAGCTGTCTGCAATGAGGGCTTTTGAGGCAATCATCTCAGAGGCGAGAGACATCCCTTTAAACACTAATGGTTAGCTAGCTTGTACAAACTGATCATCAAAACTCTGCCAGGATCACTGCACTGGTGCTTCCAGGTTTGCACTATCCCAAGACAGTTGGCAAGAATGAAGGAGGGAAGTGGATTCAGTACCTGCTAGTCTTGATATCAAGAGTGGCCATTTTAACAATCTGGTGTGATGCAGAGATGGGTTTTTTAGTACTTTTCTGCTCTTTGTAGCTTCAGTGCAGGTTATAGGTCCATCTGTCCTGGGGGACCACTGGAAACGTGCAGGACCGAACCCCAGACATCTGTGTGTTTCTCCTAGCTCACTCCCCTGATTGCTGAGGTTTCCAGCTTGGAAAGTCGTGGCAGAACATGAAATACACGTGGCATCTCTGCATCCAGGCGCACGGAAACAAAATAAGTGTCATGGGGAAAATATAATTTCACAGTGGCAGGCCCTGTGTTGGGATAAACAGACGTCTTGTTTCCTCTCATGGATGCATGGAAAATCAATTCCCAGTCTTCTGCAGTGTCTCCTAAACGTGAATCAAATTCGCTTTTGTAGTACAGTTGTTTTGTGCCAGTGAAAAGGTTTCATTTCCAGCAGGGGAACTGCAGGTAACACCTTTTTTGCTATTCTGTTTTGTTATTTGGGTGTCTATCTTCTCCTCTTTATAGGAATCTCATTTCAACTGCAGCTTTTTGCCTGGGGGTCTGAAGTAAATCAGTAATAAGTAACTGTATCTGTCTCTAATTCACTAAACATCCAGAAAAACAGCTAATGTGCCTGAACCACTGGGATGAATACATTAGATTAATCTAATTCAGCTACTTTTCACTCAGACAACCAGTAGCGTTTTGAAAAAGGTTGTGGAAGGGAGTGAGAATTTCTCTTCCACATTTTTGCATTCTTCTTCTTCTTTCCATAACTTTCCTATGTTGCATTAAATGTTAGCTATTCAGTTAGCTTATTTCCTGGACCCTCCTTAAAACTTTACTTTAAAGATAAGTTTATTCTTCTCAGGGCTGAGTCTGTATTCACTGAGACTTTCAGTGGCCAGGAAAGGCACCAGAATAAACACAGACATGCGGTGAACAGCTTATCCCACCTGGAGCAAGCAGCTCCCTCTTATTACTCTTCCACTTGCACCTCAGGTGGGCAGCATGGCTACAGGAAATCTTGGAGCATCACTGCTGGGCTTAGAGCAATTCCTTGAGTGTGTGGTGGCCTTCCCTATATCCCCTTCATTTCCCTTGGCAAAGGTGGTGCATGCAATCACCCTGGTGCCGTGGCAAGCCTGATGTATCCTCTGCTCCTTTATGCCCCACTTTTTTTGGAAATGTGCAAATAGACCCAGAGCAGGCTGCCTCGACCCTTCACTGTAACAACAAATTACTGGAAGCTGACCTAGCTGTGAGTATTTCTCACAGCAGTCCAGCCTAGATAAGGGTTACCTGAGTTTCTGGAGAGAATTCCATGTGCAATTCTTTGTGTACAAAGCCTCAGACCCATCAAGGTGTAAGGCCTAAATGGCTGCTTTGCTGCCCGCCAGTCCTACTCTCCTGTCAGTAGATTGCTTCAGTGTGATTTGTTCTTGGCACTCTCCTGTGGCTGTTGATCATCTCCTTATATTTTTAAAGTGCTGACAAGCAACTTGGTTATTTGTCCAAGTGTTTTTCTGGGACCTGAAGCCAGCCTGCCTACTCCGTAATTCCCGAGCGCCTCCTTCCCCTCTTCTGAAAGGGGAGCCTATGGTCTGCCCTCCCTGGCCCCCTGGAACCTCCCTATCCCTGGTGGCTCTTCACAGTTAAGTGGTTGCATCTCCAAGGCTGCTTCAGGAAGCTTGTTGAGTGTCCTGGGATGCAGTTCAACAGGCAGGGATGATTGAAAACACCACAGTTATCTAATTGCTCTCTAACCAAACCTCGCTGTCACGTGAGTTTGTGTCCTGCTAACACTGGCATTAGCTTCATCAGCAATTTGATTGCTGTTGAGTTTTTAGGGAAGTTTTCATTAAAAAGAGGGCATTAAGTGTTTTGTCTCTCTGCCCTGTGCTAATGTTGCAGCTCCCTAAAGAGTGGGTCAGCTCTTTCTTTGGTCTCTCCTGTTGCTGCTGGCTGGTGTCTCCATTGCTCATTGAGGCCGCAGTACAGGGAGATGCCAACCAGGCAGTTTTGGGGCCAGCAGATAGGACACAGATTCCACAAAGCCCCCAGCACCCTGGGAGGGCCTGCTGGCAGCAGGGTTTGGCCAGGCTGTCACTAGGCAGGGAGCCTAGGGAGCAAAGACCAGGCTGCTGTGGGGTGCAGGAGAGATGGCAGCTTTAGGGTGGTGACTTCCTTGTCCTCTCCCCAGACACTGCAGGGATCTGCTCTGAAAGAGATGCAAGGCAGAATAAGCACAGGAAAGGACAAACTTTCCTTGCCAACAGCAGATGAAAAGCGATGTTATAAAGTCACTTGTCTCTGGTAACATGGCCCCAGCTCTGACACAGAGGTGGAGGGCATCCAAGTTTCCTGCTGGAAGGAGATGAACCCACACCTGGAATCCTATCTGGGTTTCAAAGGTCAGGTGCCTTTCTGTGGTTACAGATGTCGTGGGGATGGCATTTGACCCTGGCTCATCCTACATAGAAGGCAAGGTATGATGGACAGCAGGATCATTTGAACCCTCCTGGAACTAGCTTTCCTTTGAATTACAAACTGTTTTTTGTTTCTTCCCAGCCAGGTCTCTAGACAAACTCTATAACTTTGCTGACTGCTCTGGCCTTCACCTGATCTTTGCACTGAATGCTTTGCGCCGAAATCCCAACAACTCCTGGAACAGCTCCAATGCCCTCAGCCTGCTGAAGTACAGTGCCAGCAAGAAGTACAACATCTCCTGGGAGCTGGGCAACGGTGAGTGTGGGAACAGGAGAGCCACAGGAATGGAGCTTGCTGTAGCTGAAAGGTGCTCAGTTTTGGAAGAGGATACTTGTAGCTCATAGGATGCTTTACCAGTGTACTTTCAGAGGGATTTAAAGGCCCCTGCTATAAGGCAGCACCACCTCTAAGACTTGGTGTGAGACAGTCTCTTAGCTGGACTTTCTCTCAGCTGGGATTAAGCACATGAAATGTTTCTGTCCTGGCTGCTGGGCCCAGCTGGTGCTGGGGGGCCAGGCCATCTACTTCAGGGACTTGTATGGTGGCTGCAGTGCCAGGGGAAATGAGCAACCCTTTGGGGACAGGAGCATGACACCAAGGTACAGCTCCTCCACCCAGAGCACAGCAAAAGGGGCACAGGAGAGCAGGCAGTGGCTGTTGTCCACTCCTCAAAGGCTCCTCCTGCTGCTCTGCAGAGCTGCCTGCATCCTCTGTGGAGCTCAATCTCTGTGACAGGGTGAGCTGTGTGTCTCTCTGGAAACACAGAGGAGGAGGCAGAGCTGACAAGTTTTGCTTGTCAATTTTTATTTTCTCAGAGCCCAATAACTATCGGACCCTGATGGGCCGCTCGGTGAATGGCAGCCAGCTGGGCAAGGACTACACCCAGCTGAGAAGCCTGCTGCAGCTCATCCGCACCTATTCCAGAGCACACCTCTATGGACCCAACATTGGAAGGCCCAGAAAGAATGTTGTTGCTTTCCTGGAAGGGTAAGTGGTGTTGGGTTGATCAAAAAGGGCTCAGAAACCCCTCCTGAGACCAATGTCCTTGGCAGCAGGAAGGCTTGCTCCTTGGCTTCCCAATGTCCAACAGCCTCCAGGATAGTGAGGCTCTGTGTGGCTGAGCCACCACAGTACCAGAGGCTTTGGAACACAGTCGTGTGTATGGCTAAAGTTCTGCAGAGGGGCCTGGTGGGATCTGGGGATGGACTGATTTACACTCTCCCAAGCATTTCCAGCGTTTCCCATTATAGGCAGACTGAGGTGCCCACCTTGTTGGGATGTTAAGGTAGTGCAGGGGTGTGGATGCTGGCTGTTGCAAGCCCAAGAGCTGCAAGGTGAGGATGTGTGTCCTGGCACCACTTACCAATGTGCACATTATTTCTGAGTCCTCCTGGACAAATTGCTTTGCTCTTCCCATTTGGTGATTTCTTCTCCCTGTGCTTTCTCCATCTGTGCAGAGGAAGAACCTGTTGCAACTTTCTTCACTGGCCAAGCTCTCTTCTCCCTCCTAGGGGGATTGGCACGTCTCTAGTTTGGGAAAGCCAGAGGTGGAGAAGGAACGGTGACAGAGAGGGACGCAGACATCTGGAGGTGACACTAGACAGCTACAGGAATCAGGGAGGTGTGGGAGACTGCTGGCAGCAGGAGTTGGGTCTGCGTGGCTCGAAGACCATGCAGCAGAAGGGAAATTCCCTGCAGGACTGTAAACAGAAACTCCAGTGCAGAAGGCTGGGCAGGGGGAGGTGTGGAAGGGACTCTGCTGGGAGCAAAGCTGGGTCTAGCATTCATTAACATCTGCAGGAATGATCTGGCAGAAACAATAAACAGCACACTGATGCAGTCCCCAGCGAGGCGGGGAGGGAGCCAGGGCCAGATTCTCAGCTCTGCTGCAGCATCACAAAGAGACCATAAAGCTGGTTGAACCAGCTGCGACGCCAGCATCCCTCCCGCTGACGAGAGAGGGGGAACAGCCCCTGTGCCCCACCTCGGCCGTGCCACGCCAGAGCGACGCCCACGGAGCCCCGCGCCTGGTACCGCGCCCGAGCGGCACACGGGGAGCTACAAAATGCTGTAGTAGCCTTGATCAGCAGGAAATCTATTAGCGCCAGGAGGAGCAGGCTGAGTAAGGAAAACAATGGGGATGAGAGCCAAGAAGCTATTAGAGAAAGGGAAGTCCTACTGCTGTGTTTGCCCTTCGTGCGCTGCAGCCGGGTCCCAGGGAAGAGGGGTCGGAAGAGCCAAGTCGCACGGCCAGGGTGGTCCAGCAGCTGAATGTTGCTGTGCTTTGACTGACGGCAGCCCTGGGAGCAGGGCTGTAGTGGAGATACATTATCTCCTCAGTCTGGTGGAGATAATGGCAGATACCCCATCTCAAATGAAAGGGAAGATATGTAAGAGCTGCAGCCCTGGTGATGGGATAGTGGGGCTCTTCATAAACGCCCCAGCTGGTGTGGAAAGGCTCTGATGACATGCCTGCTCTCCAAGCTATATGTTCTTTTCTCTGCTGCCCATCCCTGCCTTCCAGGATGACTGTTCCATGGGTGCTCAAAGAGTTTTGTGTCTCCCTTGGAGAAACCTTGTGTCCTGCACTCGAAATCCTGGTGTCAGCAGCTCACAGCAAGCGGCACACGCCTGCATGGTGTTACAGCCTGCAGGGTCCTCTGGAAAAAGAGCTGCTGGTCTTTCCACATAAAGAGCCCATTATTACCAGGCAGGGCATAAAGAGAAGGGACAAGTCTGATTACACAAAGGGCTAAACACTCAGTTGCAGTATTTGGACATGGAGTTGCAAAAGGATAAACATACAAACCCCAGTGCCTAAGCTCTTTGACAGCGTGAGCTTTACTCCCAGTAGCTCCCCAAGGTCTCTTCAATATGTGGGTTAGTGCTACCGAGAGCTCTGTCTTCTGCAGCAGCATCCAGAACTGGTCTGCAGGATGTGGCTCAGCATGTGCCTGGTGCTGTCACAGCCAGGACATGCCTCTCAGGGTCCTGAACGAGCCACACACAGTCAGCAAGCAGGAGAGAGGAGAGGGAATTTAGGAAGGTTCTCTCGAAGGCAAATCTGCCACCTGCCCTGCTAGACCACCATGAGTGATCTGTGTAGTGCTCATGGTAGGTTGAAGGCTCCTGAGCAAAGTGTGTGCAGCTCAGAGTCCTGATGATGTGAAATTTGTAGTTTTTTCTCTTCTTTTAAAAAAAATGTGATGAACAGCAGTAGTCAACCATGTAGGAGGAGATACATCAAGTGGAGGATGATGCATCAAGAGTTAACTAAGGCTGGAGGGGTGAGATGACCCCCTCGATGTGAAGATGGGATGGGTGGATTTGTCTGCCAGGCAAGCATTGCCGTGTTACACAAAGTGAGGGGAAGTAATGGAACTGAGCTGAAATGGGACAGGAGACCTCAGACAAGCAGTAGGGGAGTCTTCTCCAGCAGTAGAAGCTGGCATTTGATGTTCTCCAGGGAAAGCCTCTGGAGATACCTGATGTCCCAAAACACTCAGAGAAAAGTGTCACTGTGAAGTATTAACTAGAATAACATTTTCCTGTTCTATGCTCTGTGTTCCAAAGGTTTTAGTTGTTTTTAGCTGTTATCTCAAGCAATCAAACTAAACTTATTTTTGCACCTAAATTTTGTCCTGAAATAATGGCAATGTCAACATGAGTTGGGCATTTGCATCTGCTGAACACCTCCAGGGCTCTTCTGACTAAATCCTTATGCCTGTCCTCCAGAACAGGCTGGGACTCATCCCCTCCTGAGGTGCCACCTTTCTCTGGGGTCTGCTACAATAATTGACAGTTTGGGCACCCAAAAATTTGCAGCATATAGGAGGGTGTGCATGCTGCCCACTGCAGAGGCTGTCCTTAGGCAGGTGACACTGAGCTGTGCTGGGTGACCGCTGTGCACTTCCCAATGGTGGAGGTGGGATATAGTGAGGGGAGGAGAGCTTGAGGCACAAAAGCTTGGGCTTTGCACACCCTTCAGTGCTGAGGTATTGTCCCTGAGCTCCTGCAGCAGCCTGCAGGGAGCAATGGCTCAGAGCAGCCACAGCCATCCGTGTCACCCTGGGCTGGCAGGTCCTGGAGCCTGGAGCTGATGCTGTAAGGACAGGCACTGCAGTGGTTGGGCCTACTATGCAGGAGGCTAGAAATGGTGTCTTGTGGATGCACAGGTGCAAGAGGGAATTTCTCCAGACACAACCAACAGTTGAGTTTGATGAGGTGTTAATTAGACCATTCATGCAGCCTGAGCTGTTACAGAGCACGGCATGTTAGCTACCTACTGCGTCTGCGGGTACAGGAATCCCAGAACTGCTCAGAATTGGCTTGGGGAAAAAAATATGGGATTCTAAGGAATTAGCATAGATTTTAACAGCAGATCAGGAATCAGACACAAAGGTTAATGCATGGCTGGATAGCCCATTTGGTGCTGGAAGAGAAGAAACATGAGGAAAAGCGATCAGGAAGGAGAGATGTTAAAATGCATTAAAGCTCAGAACGTGGTACAAAACTTGGACTGGCATGTCTGGGTGGATTCGACTCTGGGCTCTCATGACCTATTGCTCCTCAGCTGGTGTAGCCCAGTTTTTGCCACTGGTAACTCACAAGTTTCAGTGTGTTACCTCCACCATGGCAGGAGGTACAGCAATGTCAGCAGGGTAAGGGCTGGCAGGCACTTTTGCCCATCCTAGACTGGCTGTTGGTGCTCTGTGGCCAGTTTAGGTCCTGAGACAGCTGTGTCACCAGAGAAGTGAAAATCTTTCTTGTCTGGAGCTACACTCTTTCCCTATTCCTCATCTCACAGATCTCAAAGTCACCAGATGTTGTGGCTCCTTGGCTTTTCTCTGCCCTCTTTCCAGCCTCCTTAGCCCCTTTTCCTGCTGCAGTCACCATTGTGCATCCACCCTCTGGTCACAGGGACACAGCACCTCCAGCCAGGTGACAGAAGTAGGTGACAAGGCTCTCAGTTTTCAGTCTTCCCTTGTAAGGCACAAAAATTCCTCATCCTTCATCCTTTTACTGCCTCCTGCTCCTGGTTTGTAATGCCTGTGGAGACTTAACCACCCATCTGGTTCCCTGTGTCTCCTGTTGGTAATGTCATTCCACAGTGGTCTGACAGGAGCCCACAAAGCTGAGGAAGCACTTTTGTCAGTGGTGGTTAAGCTGTGGATATGCCAGGACTGGGAGGGGGCATGTCTCAGTTATTTGTGGGCAGCCAAGTTGGGGTCAGGTTAATACCTGACTCAGTCTTCAGCCCTGCTCCTTTCACCCACAAATCAACCCCAAGCCAAGGTTTCTAACATTTACCTGGTAGAGAGAACTGTTAGCTTACAGTTCATGAAATGGTACAATGGGGTTCCACCAAAGCAAAATCAAAGTGCTAAAAATGGGAGAGACTTGGTAGTGTTTTGATGATAACTGCCCTTGCCTTATGTCTCTGCCATCATGAGGATGAAGAGGGCTGTGCCTGTGTGTGCAGGACAGCACGCCTCAGTCAGCTCAGACATCAGTTTTTATCCCAATAGCAGCCAAAGACAGTGTATGGACAGAGCTTGTTTGTTTAAATTCAAGTAAGAGCAAGAAATAAGGAACTGGAGTAGGTGGTATCTGGCAAATGGAAGGACTCTGGATGAATTTTAGGAATGAATGTAGGCATTTTTCCCATCCTCTTGCTGAGAAGGACTTCTGCCATATTTGACACAAGGGACTTGTAAACACTGGATTTTTAGAAGTTGCTTTGGCTGTTTGACTTTCTTTAAAAAAAAAGTATATCCTTGCTGTATTGTATTACAAAAGCTACCACAAGGCTGGTGGCACAGACTGTACAAGGACACTCAAGGGATCCAGAGCAAGAATTTTGTGCAAAAATTAAAGCCACAAGACAAGGAACTTTAAATTAATGGTACAAAGGGAGGAGGAGGTCACTGCAGTGCGAACTCAAGCTCTGGTAGCATTGAACTTATGAGTGACTCAATTCATAAATA